TGCTCTATTTAGGCCATTACCAAAATGTCCACTGCCTCTGAACTATAGGATTTGACTTTTCTTTTGATTGTTCTGAAACTCATACGCAAAGTCAGCATTCTTGCAAGTCAGCACTCCACTGGTCACAGACATAACGATTAGTGATCCATTAGTGATTATTTTTGAAAAGTCATGGAAGATGGGAAAGATTCCAGAGGACGAGAAAAGGGAAAAATATAGTGCCAATCTATAAAAAGAGAAATAAGGACAACCCGGGAATTACAGACAAATCAACTTAACTTCAGTATCCGGAAAGATAATGGAGCAAATAATAAAGCAATCAATTTGCAAACACCTAGAAGATAGTACGGTGATAAGTAACAGTCAGCATGGGCTTATCAAGAACAAATCATGTCAAAGCAACCAAACAGCATTTTTTTACAGGGTAATAAGCCTTGTGGATAAGGGTGAAGCAGTTGATGTGGTATATCTTGACTTTAGTAAGGCTTTTGATACTGTCTTGCATGACCTTCTCAAACAAATTAAAGAAATACAACCTAGATGCAACTACAATAAGGTGGGTACATAACTAGTTGGAAAACCATTCCCAGAGAGTAATCATCAGTGGTTCACAGTCAAGCTGGAAGGGCATATCAAGTGGGATCCTACAGGGATCAGTTCTGAGTCTGATTCTATTCAATATAAGAACATAAGAATGGCCATACTGGGTCATACCAAAGGTCCATCTAGCCCAGTATCCTGTCTTCCGATGGTGGCCAATACCAGGTGCCCCAGAGGAAATGAACATAACAAGTAATTATCAAGTGATCCATCCCCGTCACCCATTCCCAGTTTCTGGCAAACAGAGGCTAGGGACACAACCTCTGCCCATCCTGGCTAATAGCCATTGATGGATCTATATTCTGTGAATTTATCTAGTTCTATTTTTAACCCTGTTATAGTCTTGGCCTTCACAACATCCTCTGGCAAAGAGTTCCACAGGTTGACTTCATTGTGTGAAGAATCTTCATCAGTGATTTAAATAAGGGCATAGAGAGTTCACTTATAAAGTTTGTGGACTATGGGGTTGGGAGGGGTTGCAAGTGCTTTGGAGGATAGGATTTTAAGTCAAAATGATCTGGACAAACTGGAGAAAGGTCTGAAGCAAACAGGATGAAATTCAATAAGGACAAATGCAAAGTACTCCACTGAGGAAGGAACACATACAAAATGGGAAATGACTACCTAGGAAGGAGTTCTGAAGAAAGGGATCTGGGGGTCATAGCGGATCATAAGCTAAATATGAGTCAACAGTGTAACACTGTTGCAAAAAAAAAAGCAAACATCGTTCTGGGATGTATTAACGGGAGTGTTGTAAGTAATTCTTCTGCTCAACTGGAGTATTGTGTCCAGTTCTGGGGGCCGCATTTCAGGAAAAACGTGGACAAATTGGAGAAAGTTCACAGTTATTATAGGTCTAGAAAACATGACCTACGAGGGAAGATTGAAAAAAATGGGTTTGTTTAGTTTGGAGAAGAGAAGACTGAGAAGGGACATGCTGACAGTTTTCAAGTACATAAAATGTTGTCACAAGAAAGAGGGAGAAAAATTGTTCTCCTTAACCTCTGAGGATAGGACAAGAAGCAATGGGCTTAAATTGCAGCAAGGGCAGTTTAGGTTGGACATCAGGAAAAAACTTCCTAACTGTAAGGATAGGTAAGCACTGGAATAAATTGCCTAGGGAGGTTCTGGAACCTCCATCACTAGAGATTTTTAAGAGCAGGTTAGACACCTGTCAGAGATGGTCTAGATCAGTGGTCCCCAACCTTTTTGTGGCCAGTAGCACATTCATGTTTTCAGAAGAGTGTGGCGGGCGCCAACAATTTTTCAAGGCTTATTTTGTATTTGTATATTAAATAATACGAAAAACATCACACTTAATATTACATAATATATGAATCCACACAGAAGAGAGAAGCTGGACAGAAGCCGCGAGGTCAGAGAACACCGGGGCCCGTGGCCCCAGAGTACTCTGTTCCCAGCAGGCGTGGGGCCCCAGCTTTTCTCCCCTGCTGGGCACTAGGCAGGCCCCGCGCCTGCTGGGAACAGAAAACACCGCGCCTGCAGCCTGAGTTATCTGTCCCCATCAGGTGAGGGGCTGTGGCTTCTCTCCCCTGCTGGGCACTAGGCGGGCGCACATAAATACCCCGGCGGGTGCCATGGCGCCTGCGGGCATCACGTTGAGGACCACTGGTCTAGAGAATACTTCAGTCCCCTGCAAGCAAGGCAGGACTGCACTAGATGTCCTATTGAGGTCCCTTCCAGTCCTACGATTCTATGGTTCTATAGCACCAGCTTGAAAGTTAATAGTTAAAATGGTACAATCCAATTTCCTTTTAAACTTTTTAACATTCTATTATGGGAGGATGGAGCCTTGTCAATATCTCTTAGCAAAACATTAAGAGTTCCAACTTCCTCCAAACCATAGATCCCTGAATAAAACATCTATTTTAACACTGTTTCCATCTTCCTTCCTGGTCTGATAAAGAAGCTACCTCTTCCAAGGGAGCATATGATTTTTTAGAACACGCTTCAGTGAGGGAAGTGATCCTGGTAAGGGAGCTCCAGATTTCTCTCTTCTGATTAGGGAGCTCATAACTAGTTACTTGAGGATTGTATGCTTCATAGCTTACGTAGGGCAAGCTTACTGCACATATGAAGTGATCCTTACATCCCTCCATTCCTGCCCACAAGCTCATGTGCCATTCTCCCATCCCCCTTTTTCAGGGACTTCCTGAAATTCCTCCCAATCTTCCCTGAAAGGGGTTCTGTGTGCTCCCATTTCTCCCTCCTCCCATATCAGGGTCCCCCATTTCCCTCTCCTCATATCAATAGACCTCTGTGCACCCCCATTCCCACTTCCGCTAACGTCCCCCTTATTTCCCATAGCAGAAGCTCTGTGTGCCCTCTATCACCCCATATCAGATACCCGCAACCTCCTGACCTGGGGTTCTGGGCCCCTTTCCATTCCCCTTCCCCCCACACCATCATCCCCAATCTCCTCTAAGCAAGGTTTCAGTGCATCCCCTAATGTCCAAACCCCTCAGCAGGGGTTCCGTGTACCTCCCCCATAGAAGGGTCATACATTCATAGAATCATAGAATATCAGGGTTGGAAGGGACCTCAGGAAGTCATCTAGTCCAACCCCCTGCTCAAAGCAGGACCAATCCCCAGACAGATTTTTTGCCCCAGATCCCCAATCTTTCCCTCACCTGCGGTTCTTTGTGCCCTATTCTTCCCTCTCCCCATGCCAGGGGCTGTGTGCATGCTCCCATTACTTTCTCCCCCATTCTTCCTCCACCCCACTCCTCCAACATTATTCTTCTTTCTGTCTGTGAGGGCAAATTCAGCTCTCAGTTACATTCAGAATGTCAAATGTAAAACTCTATTGGGAGGATGGGCAGAGATAAGATAGGATCATTGCTATGCTGGAAGGTGCAAATGGGGCCATCAACCAGTTTGATCTAGACAACTGCAGAGGTGCTTGAAGCTGTGGCTGTTGTAAACAGGGGCTTCCTGTCTCTCCTATTTGCCAATTTTCTCCAAAATCAATAAGGTTCTGGTACTGATGCCTAGAATACTCCCTGACCTTTTAGAATAGATTAGTAGAGCCTGGCATGGATACGAAATTTGTATCTGCGTCTGATCTGTGATCCGCAAACATGGCCCATGGGTATGAAGTGGATATCCGCAGATTTGCAGAGCTCTACTGATTGGATGTAGTGTTCCAAAGGTTTCCCATTACATATGCAATGACAGACAGACACAGAAATACTGTCAAGTTGAATGTAAGACCTCCATCAGCTTGGCCATTTAATTACCTTTGGGGAGGAAATAAAATGAAAAATGACGTATATGCATATTCATGTCATATTTTCTATAAAAGAGTTAGAAAAACCCTTCGATGGAGAAGATTTACAAGTAACTTACTAAACAATGAACTTTTCCTCTGAATAGGGAGCTGTGGAGGTACCCTTTCTGAGTGGGTTAGGAAAAGTTTTATTGTTTTTTCTGCCATCACCTAAAGAAAAAAAAGTTCTTCTAAGAAAAGCTCAGGCACCTGCACACCTCTCAGGCTGAGTGAAAATGGGTGAATCTGTGTGCACCTGCATCAGTAATCGTCTCTCTCTTGATTTTTCCACTTGCCTGACACACAAGGAAGGAAGAACCCATTACTATGGATTACTAGAGCCACCTGCCTAGGAAAAAGGGCTTTATTGCCATATTTCTGAAAAGATATATCTTTAATCTTTAATGAAAAGGTATTAACAGAGATGCAAGTTTCTTTTTTCCTGGACAGATACCAAAGAGCACATCGTCTGTAACTGTGTAGTATGTTTTCACAAGATTTTCTTAAATTGCTAAGAAACAACAGTGCTGACATTTATAAAAACTAAAGGGTGTCAGACAGTTAGATTTTCAACCCTTACTCATACAGATGAGCACTTACTCATATGAGTAACTTCACTCAAGTCAATAGGACTACTCATGTGACTAAGCATACAACTAATCCACACTGCTGCGCTATCTAGGTCATACAAAGTATAAGAATACGACCACGCTGCAGCTGAAAGCGTGCCTCCCAGCCTGCGTAGACAGACTCATGCTAATTCAAGCAGAGCTAACAAACGCTGCAGCATCATAGGCAGCAATTTCGTTTAGCTGCCCAAGTCCAAGCCTGCCCAAACCCCTGGGTTTGAGTTTGGGTGGCTAGCTGAAGTTGCCACGCGTGTAGCAATGCCCACACTGTTATTTTTAGAGAGCTAGCATGAGTCTGTCTACCCAGGCTGAGAAGTTCATTTCTAGCTGCAGTGTAGACATACCATAACTAGTCTCTCCCCAACACAGACTGACCTGAAGAACAGATTCCCTAATGTGCTTCTGCTAAGAAATGATGTGCATTAATTCTGCTCACTCTGCCTCTTGATGCTCACTGGATAAAGTGAGTTTTAGATACTTACCTAACCATGTTGCAATGAGAACAGAGTCAATTCCATCTATGGGCTCACAGATTCGAGCCACTACTGGGTGAATCTGTTGCGACAGATAGTACTGAGTATCAACAGTAAGATTTTCTTGTTTTTGCAGCTGTTCTGGAGCATAGGCTCTCTGGCTGGCACTCAGATTTGACCCATCCTAAGAAAGGGCACACACACAAAACAAACCAAGAGAAAAAAAGTCAGTCATATGTGGGTTGGAGTTGGGGTTAGACGTTGCAGCATTATAAAACTATGTTTTTAAAAAAGGGTACCATGGATTCCTTCCTTCAGCTATTTTATTACATATCCAATACAAAATTCAAGAAATCTGAAGAAACAGGTTACACTTTTGTTGCTGGCATTAGCTAGTAAATTCAAGAACATAAATCCAGCTTGTATTATTACAGCTTATGTGTGCAAATCAGTAATAGTAGACAGAGTAAACAGTCCCATCTGTCAATTCAGAAATGCACAATGAAAATATACTGTTACCATAAGCCCAGTTAAAAGTATGTAGAGGGCAAACATTTTGGGATCACCTTATATTAAATCAGCATTATCACATTACAGTAATCGTTAGAGCAGCTTCCTAAGCGTTGTGGTGGATTCTCCATCACTGGAAATTTTTTAATCAGATTGTATTATTTTTCTAAGAGATATGTTCATGTTCAAACAGGAAGTAATTCATCACCTGTGTTACACAGGAGGTCAGATTAGATGATCACAATGGTCACTTCTGGCCTTAGAATCAAATAATCTATTGTAACAAGCAGATACCAAATCACAGCCTTACATTAATGTGCTAAAATAATCAGTGGTGCATCATCGAAGAACAGACAAAACACTAAGTGGAAGAATGGAAGGAGGAATTAAGAGAGCAAGACAATCTATTTTGCTAAGAAGTTAATTAGGTTCTACATAGACAGGAATAAAAATGGGTTGATGGAGAAGAAACTGTCAGACACCAATGCATAGCTAAATAGCACCACAGAGACAGTGTGATCAACCCAAAAGGGTTGAGCAGCGTAAGAAACTCTTTGCAATCCTTCTTGTCAAGAGTGCCATTCTGGAGTTCCAGAGAGCACAATGAGCCTTTCTTAAACAGGAAAAAATTGAAAACAGAGGCTGAAACAAGTTGGAATCAGAGGCTAAAATGCAGGTTGAAAATGGGGCTGGTGGGAGGGTAGAGAAAAATCTTGAGTTCCAAGAAAAAACTGGATTCTAACCCCGTAATCCATCAAGGAGCCATGCCCCAAGGCAGACCGCTACTATGTTGGGATGAAGCACACAACTCTCATCCTGTGAAAGGAGATGAGGAATGGTCAGGAACATGAACAGCAGTTGGACACAGAAGTGAAGCAGGTAAGGGTACCAAGCTGGTCTCAGTCAGGTCAACACTATAATGATAACTCTGACTTTGTTTTGTCTGATCTTGTTCATTACCCTTAGTATCAGTGGCATTGGAGGAAATGCATAGAACAGACTCTTCTTCCAAGATAGAAGAAAGAGTAGTGGCCCAGACCCCTCTTGATCAGAAAACAGGAAAATTCCTGTTCCTGGAGATGGCAAAGAGATCACTTCTAGCAGTCGCCATCTTTGGAATATGCTGTGGAGAACGTGGGTGTCTAGCTCCCATTTGTAATCCTGTGAGACGTGTCTGCTGAGAACATCAGCTGCAGTGTGCTGAATACCTGGGAGGTAGACTGCTGAAATTTGGATCTGATGAGCCAGGCACCAATTCCATAGTTTCATGGCTTCAGCACACAGGAATTATTGATATAGAACAGGCAGGATCCGTTGTCTGCCATGAACCTGATTGATTTGCCCCTGATGAGGAGTAGGAAATGAAAGCAAGTGTTCCTGACAATATTGAGCTCCAACACATTCGTGTGAAGTCTGGTTTCTTGAGTTGTCCATCTCTCCTAGTGGTGAAGATATTGAGGTGGGCTCCCCATCCCAACAGCGATGCATCTCTGTTGTTAAAGTCACTGTTGGGGCTGGGCAACAAAAAAGAACGTTTGCACCGACATTGAGTTGACCTTTCCATCAGTCTAAGGAGTTCCTCACTTGTAGAGCAACTGTCACCTTCTGTCCAAGGTATCTGACCAGAGAATAGATCTTTCTGAGCCAACTCTGGAAATGACAGAGACATAACCTTGCATGACTGGTCACAAAACTGCCATGTGTCCCAAGAGCTGAAAACGGTTCCTTATGGTGATTCCTGAGGCATATTGCGCATACGCTAAGAAGAAGGGCTCCCCTGAACTTTCTGTACCAGATCTGATAAGGTTATGAACCTGTCTAAGGGAAGGTACGCTAAAGCTATTAATGAGTCCAAATATGCCCCTATAAATTATATCTCCTCTACAAGAATGTGGACTTTTTAATATTCAGCTGCAAATCTAACTTCTGAAAAAGACCAAAGTCTGGGTAGATGACAGCACTACTTTGTAGGAACAGTCCTGGGGTAGCCAGTCGTCGAGGTACAGGAAGACTAGGATGGCTTCTTGTCAGAAGTAAGCAGCCATTACTGCTAGGACTTCTGAGAACACCCTGGGGGCCAAGTAAAGGCCAAACAGAAACACTCAGTATTAGAAACGATCCTGTCGTATAGTGAACAGTAAGTATTTCCTGTGCAATGGATGTATCATGATATGGAAGTAGGCATCTTGTAGGTCAAGAGCCGAAAACCAAACCCCTTTCTCCAGTGAAGGAATTATAGCTGCCAGAGTCACCATTCTGAATTTTTGAGACTTTATGAACTTGTTTACAAGTTTTAGAACTAAGATCGGTCTCTACCCTCCATCCTCCTTTGGCACAGGAAATAATTTGAGTAAAATCCCTTGCCCTTATGAGGAGGAGAAATCAGCTCTATTGCTCCTAATTGAAGGAGAGAGTTCACTTGTCTCAATAAAAGCTTGTGGGAGGGGTCCCTGAAAAAGAATGAGGAAGGGAGGTGGGTGCAAGGGAGGGAACGATGTAAAATGGATGGTACAGCCCTATGTTGACTCACTTGTCTATAGTGATCTGCCTCCAAGCATAAAGGAAATAGGCAAGGCGATCTCCAAAAGGAGGGGATCAGGGTTAATGCATGCAGCTGTAAATCCCAAGGTATGGAATGGATTGAACCCTCAACCAACCCATCAAAACTGTTGCTTTGAAGATGGCTGGTGGTCATAGAGAGCAGATGGCAGTCCTTTTTCTTTGAAATCTGTCTCTCTTTCTGGGAGATTCAGTGGATTAATGGAACCAAGAAAACTGAGCAGAAAACAATCTCTGAGCGGTCTGTGACCTACTAAACCTTTTTTTGATAAAGTTATTTTGTTGATAAAAGCAAAGTAATGCACATGGGAAAACATAATCCCAACAATACATATAAAATGATGGGGTCTAAATTAGATGTTACCACTCAAGAAAGAGATCTTGGAGTCATTGTGGATAGTTCTCTAAAAACATCCACTCAATGTGCAACGGCAGTCAAAAAAGCTAACAGAATGCTGGGATAATTAAGAAAGGGATAGATAATAAGACAGAAAATATATTGCCTCTATATAAATCTATGGTAGGCCCACATCTTGAATACTGTGTGCAGATGTGGTCACCCCATCTCAAAAAAGATATATTGGAATTGGAAAGGGTTCAGAAAAGAGCAACAAAAATTATTAGGGGTATGGAACAGCTTCCATATGAGGAGAGACTAATAAGACTGGTACTTTTCAGCTTAGAAAAGAGACAACTAAGGGGGGATATGATTGAGGTCTATAAAATCATGACTGGTGTAAAGAAAGTAAATAAGGAAGTGCTATTTACTCCGTCTCATAACACAAGAACTAGGGGTCACCAAATGAAATTAATAGGCAGCAGGTTTAAAACAAACAAAAGGAAGTATTTCTTCACACAAAGCACAGTCAACCTGTGGAACTCTTCGCCAGAGGATGTTGTGAAGGCCAACACTATAAGAGGGTTCAAAACAGAACTAGATAAGTTCATGGAGAGTAGGTCCATCAATGGCTATTAGCCAGGATGAGCAGGGATGGTGTACCTAGCCTCTGTTTGCCAGAAGCCAGGGAATGAGCGACAGGGAATGGCTCACTTGATGATTACCTGTTCTGTTCATTCCCACTGGGGCACCTGGCATTGGGCACTGTCAGAATACAGGATACTGGGCTAGATGGATCTTTGGTCTGACCCAGTATGGCCATTCTTATGTTCTTATTTGTAGGTGTATGTATGCCCAGGGTCCATAAAGGAGCCCTAGAGTCCTTTAGAGTGTGCAAGGACTCCTGTGGTTTCTGAGAAGAATTTACAACTATCTAAGGGGAAGTCCTCCACTGTGTTCCGTATGTCTCAAGGAAATCCCGAGATATAGAGCCACGATGCCCTGCACATAACCAGTGCCATAGAGATGAACCTGGCAGCAGCGTCAACAGCATCTAAGGATGCTTGAAGAGCAGTTCTGGCCACCAATTGGCCCTCTGAGATGATGGACTGGAATTGCTCCCCATGCTCTTGTGGCAAATGGTCAATAAAAGCCATGAATCCATTATAATTTGTAAAGTTATATTTGGCCATGACCACTTGATAATTCACAATCCTAAATTGCTGAGCTGCTGGCGAACAAGACCTTTGCCCAAAGAGATCCAGCCCTTTCTGGTTCTTGTCATATGGGGTTGTCTTAGAGAAGCACTGCCTACCTGACTCATTTACCGCATCCACCACCAGGGAGCTAGGTGGAGGGTGGGAGAACAAAAAGTCAGAATCCTTAGAGGGAAGAGCAGGGGGCTCCTAGCTGCGAGTCGTTGCCAGGCTGGGAAGGGACAGGACTTGTCCTTTCCTTGCCTGGCAGCTCTCAAGGGGGAGAGGGGAGATCAGGCCCACCTCCAAGAGCCTCCCCCTGCTAAACAAAGCTCCGGTGCTGGCAGCAGCCCCGAAGGTTTCTGCAGCTGGAGGAGGCCTGTGGACATGGTCCAATCTCCCCCTGCTGCTAGGAGCCCACCAGCTGAAAACATGAAATTGACCATTATAAAATCCTCTGGCAGGGAAACTGATCAAAATGGACTGTGAATTTGGTAGGGCTTTAATAATCATATTTATCCCTTCCTAGATGTAAATGATAGGACTGCCTTTTCTGCATTGACAGAAGCATTCAGTAAATATTCTTGTTCTGTATTTGGGGGAAAAGCCAGATGTGTTTATATCATGTGATGATGACAATACTTTTCATTCCAACAGTAACTCAGAAGGATGTTAAACAGCAGCTACTTTTTAAATCAGCAAGTCTGGATAATTTGCATCCAAGAGTGTTGGTGTTTTTTTTTTTTTGGGGGGGGGGGGGAAGAGCTGGTCCAGGATTTCGCTAGATGGTTAATTTTGATTTTCAGTAAGTCTTGAACACTGGAGAAATTCCAGAGGACTGGAAGAAAGTGAATGTCATGTCAATAGTTAAAAAGGGAAAGCTGGATGACAAAGGTAATTATAGGCCTGTCAGCCTGACTTTGATCCCAGGCAAAACAATGGAAGGACTGATTTGGGACTCAAATAGAAAATTAAAAAAGGGTAATATAATTAATGTCAATCAACATGGGTTTACAGAAAATATATCCGGTTTAACTTGATATCTTTTTGGATGAGATTACAGTTTTGGTTGATATTGTTAAGGTAACAGTGTTAATGTAATATACTTAGAGTTTGGTAAGGCATTTGGACTTGGTACCATATGACATTTTGATTAAGAAACTAGAATGATACAGAAATCAACAATGGCACACATTAAATAGATAAAAAACTGGCTAATGGAAAGGTCTTCAAATGTAATTGTAAACGGGAAACCATCATCACGCAAATATGTTTCTTGTGGGGTCCTGCAGGAATGGTTCTTGACCCTATGCTGTTCAACATTTTTTTTTTAAATGACATAAAACCATCTCTGCAGATCACACAAAGATTGGGGTAGTAGTAAATAATGAAGAGGACAACTCACTGATATAAAGTGCTCTGGATCGTTTGGTAAATTGGGAACATGAAAACAATACGCATTTCAATATGGCCAACTGTAGGAGCCAACAGATGTAGGAGCCAAGAATGCAGACCATACTCACAGGATGGGGGACTATTCTGGGAAGCAGTGACTCTGAAAAAAGACGTAGAGTCATGGTGGGTACTAACATGACTGTAAACTCCCACTTAAACACGCTAGCCAAAAAGGCTAATGTGATCTTTGGATATATAAACAGTGGAATATCAAGTGTTATTTTAATCTCTGAGTTTGGCACTGTTGCTACCGCTACTGAAAACTATGTCCAGTTCTGGTGTCTACACTTCAAGATATTGAAAGACTGGAGAGGGTTCAGAGGAGAGCCAAAAGAATGATTAAAAGACTGGACAACATGCCTTATAACAACACATTCAAGGAGCTCAATCTATTTAGTTCACTAAAGGGAAGTTATAGCATGACTTGATGACAGTTTTATAAGTACCTACATGGAGAATAGAAATTTCATAATATAGGACTCTTCAGTCTTCAGTAGAAAAATGTATGACAAGATCCAATGGCTGGAAGTTGAAGCTATACACATTTAGTCTAGAAAGATGGTGTAAATTTTGAACAGCACAGGTAATTAACCTTTGGAATAACTCATCTAGAGTTGTGGTGGATTCTCCATCACTGTAAATTTTTAAATCCAGATAGAATGTTTTTCCTAAAAGACTGCTCTGGTTCCAACAGGAATTAATTCAGGGAAGTTTTATAGCCTGTGTTATGCAAGAGGTGAGACTAGATGATCAATGGTCCCTTCTGGACTTCTAGTACATGAAGCTATGTCAAATTTAGGGCATACGTTACTTAATAGTGTTCTTTAAAAATACAAAATAATGCCATTCAAGGGTTTGAGGGATTTTTGTTTTGTTTTATTTTCTCCCCAAAACTCCTAAATAGTATCTAGCCGTAACCAAGATTTTTTTTTACCTGACAGATCACATATGACACAGTATCTCCTGCTTTCACCTTTCGGCCTCCTTGAGAGTTTATCCACATGGCAACATGCACATGTGGCAAGCTTTTTTTGTCAGGATAATCCTGAGGATCCTTTGTCAATGCCTAAGAGATCAAAGGGGAAAACAGGTACATATCTTTGAGAATAATGCAAATTAAACGCTGGACAAATCACTGCAGTAAAAAACAAAGAGAAGATTATAAATAGCTGTCTTCATCATCCCTCTACTGTTCACCAGAAAACAATTTTGAAATATGACATTAATACAAAGCATAACATTATAATAAATATATCTTTCAGACATTCCGATTTCTGTATCAGTCTTTCATGCTCCCTAATTAACATTATTGGAAGAGCAACCTGGAATTTTATACATTAACTTTCTGAAAAGCTAAACACAATAATAACCCTGATTGGAACCCTAACAAAAGTTCAAACAAGCACAAAGACAGCCAGAATGGTTAAAAATTAGATTTAATCAAAGTGTGAAAGATTAATTTTTTTTTCAGTTTTGAAAATCTTAAGTGTCCGATACATTTATATTTATTTAAAAACTTTGTAACAGAAGTAGTGAAGTAGACCAGGATTTCAATATTTCTATAGATAAGACTACTAGAATTTTACAATAAATCATTTCCCCCCTCTATTCCGGAATTACTTCACATGAAGATAAAGAGTTTGAAAAAAAAATAATCCCCTTCTCTACACCTACAACTTCATCAACATAACTTTTAAACTAATATTTAGGTCTAAATATTTCAAAGGCAAACAAAACACTGGAGTGTGTAGGACTTAAAAAAAAAAGGTTATCTACTTTTTGGTAACTGTTGTTCTTTGAGATGTGCTGCTCATGCCTATTCCATTCTAGGTGTGCGTGCTCCCACATGCGCGGTTGTCGTAAATTTCTGCCTTAGAGGTATCCGTAGGGTTGGCTGTGGCACCCCCTTGAGTGCCATGCTCATGCATCGGTATATCTGGCACCACTGGCTCTGAGCCCTCTAAGTTCCTTCTTGTGGGCAACTCCGACAGAAGGGTAGGAGGGTGGGTAATGGAATGGACATGAGCAACATATCTTGAAGAACAACAGTTACAAAAAGGTAGGTAACCATTTTTTTCTTCTTCGAGTGCTTGCTCATGTCGATTCCATTCTAGGTGACTCACAAGCAGTGTCAATGGAGATGGTCTTGCAGCGTGCAGAACTGCTCTGCCGAAGCCAGCATCATCCCAGGCCTGCTGGGTAAGTGCATAATAGGACATAAACGTGTGGACAGATGACCAGGTAGCAGCTCTACAGATCTCTTGGATTGGCACCGAGCCAGGAAGGCTGCTGATGACGCTTGCGCTCTAGTGGAGTGTTCCTTGACTGGTGGAGGCATTTTTGCCAGCTCATAGCGGTAGCAGATGCAGGCGATGATTCAAGACCAAATGCTTTGAGCAGACACTAGGTGACCTTTCATCCTGTCTGCCACCGCAACAAACAGCTGCGTTGACTTGCAAAACTGCTTTGTTCTGTGGATGTACAAGGCAACGCCCTCCTGACATCCTGGGTGTTCAACCTCCATTCCTCTTCCAATTTATGAGACTTCGGGAAGAAGACAGGTAAGTATATGTCCTGGCTGGTATGAAACTTGGGCAGGAACACCGGGTGCGGATGCAGTTGGACCTTATCTTTGTAGAATACCGTATAGGGAAGTTCTGAAGAAGATCTCAGACACCCTGCGGGCAGATGTTACCGCAACTAAGAACAAAAACTGCCAGGAGAGACGGAGAAGAAAGGAGGAAGCCAGAAGATCAAAGAGAAGCCCTATGAGCCTTGACAGCACGAGATTCAAGTCCCAGGGACAGACAGGGTCCCGCATGCGAGGGTAGACATGCTCCAGACCTTTCAAAAACCAGGTCATCATGTTGTGAGCGAAGGCCAACCTGCCTTGGAATGGAGGGTGGAAATAGTGGCCAGGTGGACCCTGATTGATGGCAGGGACAAGACCTGGAGCTTGAAGTGCAGAAGATAATCCAGAGTCACCTGCAACGAGGCCTGCTCGGCCCAGATACATCGTTCCGAAACCCAGTACATGAACTTTTTCTACTTGGCTAGGTAAATCACTGTGGTGGAGGGCTTTCTCCTACCCAACAAGACCTGTTGAACCTCGGCAAAGCATTCCTGCTCTTCCATGCAGTAACCATGCTGTCAAGTGCAACGCTGCCAGATTTGTGTGCAAAAGACTGCCATAGTTCTGGGACAGCAGGTCCGGCCAGAGAGGTAGCCGCAGCAGGGTGGCTACCAAAAGGTCCAGCAGCGTGCCGAACCCGTGTTGGTGAGGCCACTCGGGGGCTATCAAGATAACCTTCGCCCTGTCCTGTTTGATCTTCATGAGGACTCTGTGGAGCAACGGCACTGGTGGGAAGGCGTACATCAGGGCCCCCAATCACGGGAGCTAGAAAGCGTCTGACAGGGAACCCTTTCCATCCCCCGGAGTGAACAGAACACGTGGCATTTCCTGTTCTGACAAGTTCACCTGTGGAGTCCCCCACTTTTGGAAGATCATACTGACCGCCTGATGTTGATATGGAGGGCCAAATCGTCTCACAGCCAGTGGCCCTGCATGCTGAGCTCGCCCAGGTGGGCTCCCCAGCCCAGGTCTGACGCATCAGAGACCAGGGTCAGTGACAGGGATGGGGCCACAAAACAAACCCCCTGTAACACCAACCCGGGGTTCATCCACCAATCCAGGGACAATAGGATGCGATCCAGCACCTTGACCACCTGGTCTAGATCATGCCTGTTGGGGATGTAAACCAATGCCAGCCATGCTTGCAGAGACCAGAGATGGAGCCAGGCACGACTGACCACGTATGTACAGGAGGCCATGTGGCCCAATAACCACAAGCAGGTATGAGCCAAGTGGTTCTTCACATGGGAGATCAGGTTCGACATGGCCTGAAAACACTCCTCTGGAACGAAGGCTCTGGGTCACGTTAAGTAGAGAACCGCCCCAACCAACTCTATTTGTTGGGCTGGCTTTAAGGTGGATTTTTTCTCGTTTATCAACAGGCCCAGGTCGCAGCAGGTGGAACGCACCAGATTGAGGCTTCTCTGTACTTGTTCCCGAGATCTGCCCTTGATGAGCTGATTTTCGAGATACGGGAAGACCTGGACTCCACAACGTCTCAGGTAAGCAGCCACTGGTGCCATACGTTCTGTGAAGACCCTTAGGGCTGATGAGAGGCCAAACGCGAGTGCCATGAATTTGAAATTATGTCCGCCCACTATGAAATGGAGGAAACATCTGACACCTCGGAATATGGAAATAAACGGCCTTCAAGTCAAGGGCAGCGTACTACTCTCCCAGATCCAGGGAGGGGATGATGGAGGCCAGGGAGACCAGGCGAAACTTCAACTTCTTGAGACTTATTGAGGCGTCACAGGTCCAGAATAGTTCTGAGGCTCCCCTTTTGCTTACGGGATCAGGAAATAACGGGAGTAGAACCCCTTTCCTGTCATGTCCTAGAAACCTCCTCCACCACCCCCAGGTTCAGGAGGTTTTCGACTTCTTGAATGAGGAGTTGCTCATGAGAAGAGTCCCTGAAGAGGGACGGGTAAGAGGGGGTGGGTGGGAAGGAGGGGTGGCCGAAAACTGCAGGGAGTAGCCTTGTGCGCTGGCCATTGGCCATGCTGGCAAGGTGGCACCGTCGATGTCAATGTGGCCTCAAGTGCCCAATCGCACCAGTGGAGTCTGGGCAAGGGGCTGAACTGCTCTTACATGCTGGAGAAATCCCCTTCCAGCGACCACGGTGGGCCCATTGACGCCTAAGTCTGCCTTCTGACCATCGCCACCAGAGACCAGTGCCTGGAGTGAGAAGATCGGTGCCAGTATCGAGGAGACTGGTGCTGGTGCAGAGGGGACCAGAGACATGACAAGGAGCGCTCCCACTGGGCAGGCGACTGAGATCTGCACTGGGAGGAAGACTGGTGGGAGGGTGAACGGTGCTGGTAGTACAGAGACCAGCACCTCCCTCTAGGCGATCCATATCGAGACAGCAGGGACCACGATTGCAGTGCCAGTGACCCAGGGTGAGCCCAAGTGGATCTGGACTGCGATTCTAGGGATTTGTGGCATGGAGATGGAAAATGTTGTCTTGGCTCGGGGGATCAGCAGTGCTCCACTGCCCCGAGGGGTCTTAACGGCTGGCTTGCCCTCGTGGGGAGCCTTTGGCATGTGCCATGTCGGCAGCCTGGGCGGAGGCCTCCGCTCTCTCGGCGCCGGCACAACTTGGGAAGGCGTCGGTGCCATCAGGGGACTGGATCCCATACCGCTCCTGGGAGTTGGTGGTGGACCTTTTAAGAGGCTAAGGGCCCTGACCGGGGAGGCATGCACACATGGCTCCAGAGTGGCCAGGCGGCCTGAACTGGGTCCCTTGCCCGATGACCTATGGCCCTTCTTGCCTGGAGCCGGGGAGCTGTGCTTTCTAGTTTTCTTTTTGGGCACCAGCGATGGGGATTGGTGCCAGGCAAAACCCGGTCCTGGGGATGCACTGTGCATTGAGGCCGAGGTACTAGGTGAGTCTTGGTGGGACGACTCGGAATCTGGGCAAAGGACTCCATGAAGAGAGCCCGCAAACGAATATCCCGCTCCTTCTGAGTCCTGGGCTGAAAGCTTTTACAAGTACCGCACTTGTCATTCATGTGTGATTCCCCCAAGCACTTGAGGCAGCTGCTATGGGGGTCACTTACAGGCGTAGGCCTGTTTCAGTCCGCGCATTATTAACCCGGGAGACCAGGGCATGCCCCGCCTGGAGACAAGTCCCTGCTGGGACTCTAACTTCTAACTACACTTAACACTAACTACTATAAACAAACTATTTACAAGGCCTTAAGGCTCAAAGTCAGTAGAAACGAAATCGCTAGCCCTTGCAATTCAAGGAAAGGCACTCTGACTAACCACCACAGGCGACAAGAAGGAACTGAGAGGGCGTAGGGCCAGCGGCACCTGATATACCGACACATGAGAGCGGCATTCAAGGGGGGGCCACTGCCAACCCTACGGATACCGCTAAGGCAAAAATCTCCAACGACCGTGCACGTGAGCACGCACACACCTAGAATGGAACTGACATGAGCAAGCACTCAAAGAAGAATGGGAGATATCTCCAATGGCATTCATTTTTAACGGAAAACTGGTTTGAAATGGTTGTAGTCATACTGGTCCTCAAGAAAAGACAGATGAGGTAATAAAGGAACAGCTGTCAATGAACCACAAAACAGTTGACTCCACAAGCGCTGACATGAAAGTGTGTGATTTTCATTACTACTTTGTTTATATTTTCTTGAGGACCAGAGAGTTGCCCAACAGAGAAGGGGCACTATTATACTGTGGCAAAGCTGGGAGAGAAGAGTCTTTTCATAAGCTTCCAATGGGAAGAGAGAAGCTTTAACAAAGAAAGAAAAAAAAGTCCTAGAAAGGGCATCAGAATTAATTTCAGCTCCAGTCTCTGTGCCTTAGAGAGGGAGAACCCAACAATTTGTACTGGACTTCTGGACATACTCTATAGTGAAAATAACTTTTTGATTCTTTTCCATTTATGTTTATGTTCCACGTTTAAATAATTAAAGTAATGGCTTGGGAGACAATGTTCTCAGCTGTGGCAAAGAAAGTACATTCTATCACACTATTCTTGGAGCATGGCCTCACAGACCAAAAAAACAAAACAAAACCAATTCAGATTTGGGACTCTGAAAAAGCGAGAGACACACTAGGCTTCTCATTCAGCAAGGTACTTCAGCACATGCCTAACTTTAAACACGAATAGTCCCACTGCCTTTCTTACTTAGATTATAAGCTCTTTGGGGCAGGGACCATCTTTTTGTTGGGTGTTTGTACAGCACCTAGCACAGCGGGGTCCTGGTCCATGGCTGAGGCTCCTAGGGAATATCACAATAGAAATTAAACAGGATTATTCATAGGCTTCAAGTCAGGCATGTTGCTTAAGTCCCTTGCTGAATTGGGGCCCAAGTGCTAGTGCCAGGGAAAATGAAAGGAACAGAAATGTAAGAGTGATAAATCTAAAAGAAAGAATCAAGTTAAAAATAGAAGGGGAATAGACATTTTCTCTTCTGACGTAGCCTAATCAGAGAGGTGGACCAGTATCAATATTTCCAGGAACCATTAAACTTTTCCCAGCACTAGTTCTGGATCACTGATCAGAAAGACAAACTAAAAACCCTGGTAATATCATATCAAATGCATGAAGAAATCATTTATGACTGTCCATCCCTTGCCTGAGTTTGGTGAAACAGCAGATATAGATTCATAGATTCTAGGACTGGAAGGGACCTCGAGAGGTCATCGAGTCCAGTCCCCTGCCCGCATGGCAGGACCAAATACTGTCTAGACTATATATTACAGCATCTTTAACCAGAGAAATCTTGTAAAATAGTTTTAGGGGGAAAAAAGAAACCTGAAAATCTTAGCAGTAGCCGATGAGTGATACCATTTACCTTGTTGATTTCAAATTGACTTATTGGGACTCTGCCATTTATCACATTTTCTCCAATTTCTATTAGCCATCTTTGAATGTTTTCCACGATTGTGTCTCGGGACTGGTCAGAAAGAATCTGACCAATTACATAGCTGTAAAGAAATAGAAGCAAACAAAAAACTTTCTTTAAAATACAGAGGGTATCTTAGTATTTTAAAAACACCATAGTAAATATGTGCACCTCTCTCTTTGTTACCTCTAAAAACTACAGACAAACTGAGGACAAAGTTTACCTCAAAATTAACAACACTTTTCCCATGATCTCTCACATGCTTTAATTATTTTATTAGGATACTTCAAATTTCAATTATTTAATCTTGACACTACTTTAAATGATGGACCCAATGCATTTCTAATGTCCCCCTCACCCATCCAAGTGGTGTTTTGACGTTTACTAATCCACAACAGGTATCCAAAATGAAAGAAATTTTGAATATGAAATCTGCTCACTAACTTCCTGCCTATTTCTGGAAAAATGTATACAGAGGGTCTGCCAGCTGCAGTACTTAGTCACTGAAGAACACTGACAAACATTTGTATAGCTTTAATTCCTAATACATTCCTAACTTGGGGAAATTTGTTTCTATTATGATGCATCTTTTCTTAGAAAACACAACAGTTAAGAATAGTAAGCAAGTGTGTAGTGTATATTTACAGATAAAGAGGCATCAATTTCTGGGTACATTTGGAGCCATAATTTATTTAAAACTAATATTTTCCAAGGGGCTGTATGCAATACAAATTGATTCAGCCATAAGATGACCACCTCTCTGCCCAATCAAAAGTATTCTCTCTTTAGTACTAATTGTATAATCTCTGTAAAAGCTGAGTGCAAGAGAGGCTCCATATAATGCTGCACATAGTAAATGCCAATAAATCAAATAATCATTGATACCACATACCATCTTCTTTTACAAATAAAAGGATCTAAATGAATGACAAAAGGGGTCTTCAGGACAGTGACCACATCTTCCATTTTGAGTGCTTCTGCAAGCTTAACATTTATTAACAACTCTTTAAAGCTGTAATTTGCTAAGGTGTAGTATCAAACTCCCTACACCTTTAAAATTCTCAACCTAAGAACCCAAATCAATGATAAAACATGTGAGTAGACATTCATTTCTCACAATTCCTGAATTCAGGTTTATTGTACTATATATCTAATTGCTTCAGAGGAAATGCAAATTTAAGATTTACAAGAAAGTGAGACCAACAGACAGTAAAAATAGACCTTTTTAAGTAAACACACATAATCTGTTACTGGTTTAAAAATCTTTCAATATTTTGATAGGCTGTTCTGAGTCCTTTTAAAAATTAGTTAAAGCACTTTCTGTACTTAATACAGGAGTTAGAGTCAGAGTTTAAAGACTTGAATGGGCCACCAGATGATCTAGTCTGACCTCCTATATATCACAGGCCACCAACACTACCCAGCACCTGCACATCAAACCCAACAACTGAAATTAGGTGACGGCCCTCAGGAGAGAATAGCATTATGGGTCATAAAAGGAGAACAGAAGAGACCAAAGTGCACCAATGCCCAAGGCCACTGCAATGGCAGGGAACTGACTGAGATATACCCAGGTAATCCCAGCAAGTGACCTGCATCCCATGCTGCAGATGATGATGAAAAACCCCCAAGGTCACTGGCACTGTCAATCTGATTTAAGGAAAAATCCCTTCCTCACCTCACATATGGCAATCACTTAGAACCTGAACACTTGGCTATAAACAGTAGCAACATTTTTCCCGTGAGAGAGGCATTAGCAACATCTAGCAGCTCACATGTTAATGAAGATTGTGTATTTTTCAAGAGTCGTACAGCATAAGATGAAAATAGTCAATATTAAAAGCAAAACTCACTTTCCAGTTTCTTTTGCAAGGTCACACCAGTCTCTTCGGACTATGTCCAATCCTTTCAATTCCTGTTTGGTAACATATTTCCCATCTCCTGTTGGCTCCACCGTCAGAGCAGCATATTTCTTTTTCTTTAACAGTAGCAGGGACTTGAAGACCCCATCAATATCAATCTCCAACAATTTGTACAGCTTGTTCACTTCACTTTTAATCTGTGATACATTATCATTAAACCAAATGCAACATCTCAGTAATTATGAACACACATTACTTTTAACAATACATGCATCAGGCTGAAGTTGCATAGCAGTCATACTCTATGTTGTGTGCATATATAGACATAATTTTATAGATTGGACAGATGTCTTCAGTATAGTAGTACTTATTAACTACCATTACAGTTAAGGTTATGATACTATTTCCAGCATGGAGCATGTTTTTCAGGGGTTTACAATTCGGTGTGATGAGCAGTACAGACCTTTCAGGATTCTAAAAAGGGTCCTCTCATAGTTAAGGTTCCACCTCAGCCCAGTTTTTAACTCAAAAAACAGGCAATGTCTGCCTGAGCAGAGAGAACTTTGAACCCAGAGGAGCAGAGCTTAGAGGAACCCTGGGGACGGAAACTGGAGCAGCTGAACCTAATGACTAGAAGCAGATATAAAAAGTCCAATTCCAGGTAGAAGGTGGCTACTGTGCTATAGCTGCATTCCTGGACAAGCAGGATGGTGTCAAAATAAATATTGTTTGTGAATATTGGGGAGGAACTGAGCGAGCAGCCCATGCTTGGTTGTTTTTGTGTGTGTTGCTTTTCTAAATAAATCATAAATAAATAATAAATAAAATATACTGGGTGCTGGCTTTCACAGAATAACCTGAACTCTTCTGGGAAAAGATGAAATACTCCCCTTTTTCCTATCTCTCACCCTCCCCTTTTGTGTGTAGTTTCTAGAACTGGGACCCATTTCACTTGACTACAGAAGTGTGAGGTAAGGCTTGGGTTGCTATCTTTCTGTTGGGCAAAAGATGAAATTTCCCTCTTTTCTCTCATCAGCCTTTCAAAAGAAAAAATAAAATCTAGGAACACACAAATGTGTTTAGCTTAGAAAACAAGCTTGAGTTCTGGTTCCCATGCTGGCTGGTCAGGAGCTTCCCTTCTTTCCTCACATCATTTCTCTTTTCACTTCTTTCACAATGCATCTTTGCATCATTCATTCCCCCAAAACCTGTTCTGACCGCTTCCCATACCCCCTTAATTTTCATTTACTGATGTCTTGATTCTTCCCCCTTCTCCCACTGAGTGGAAACTCCTCTCTCCTTGTTCAGTCTCACAGAAGTTAGATATGGACAAGAGCTATTTGGTCACCTCAGCCACACCCATGCCAAGGTAGGATTATTCCTAGAATTTCTTTCATAGTTTTCCAGTCTAGTTTTAAATATCTGGAGATTGGTCTTTAACTAACAATTTCCATTGGACTTCAAAAAATTGATAACCGACATGATGAAGAATTAAACAGCATGTAAGTAGTAACAGAATGAAATGAAGAAAGGAAAAGTGTATGCTGAAGAGCAAGGAAATTTTCCCGATAATGAGATCTATTAACCAGTGTAATCTCTTCTGGGAAGTGGCTGAAGCTAGGCACACTTAGAACGAGACTAGTAAATATACAATGCTACATTGGATGAGAGATGGACTAGATAACCTTACACTGATTGTATGTATTTGTATGGCATGTTGGCTTATATTAAGGCACAGAAAATTGTGGTTGATAATTTTCTTTCTGCTATCAGCATTTCCCACCATTCTGGATATCCACGCTGCTCTCTTCTCGCTGAGGCTCACAGAGGTAGATCAGATTTTTGACGCTGCACAATATCCCATGCCCCTTCTGGTTCCACCTGCTGCCAGATGAATTATTCCTAAGCTGTAAAACTTGCACATCATTGACACACATTCCAGAGATAAAGTATCTGTGGCCATCAGACCAAGGAAGACAGTCATATGGCAACGACTTCACTTAATATCTGAGCCTTGACTCATAAGTCATCCAAGGTGGATAGAATTGTGGGAGACGGTGCTGCAGCCAGGAAATCATTGCTAAGAAATTTTCCATTCTGCAGCCCAGCATGTCCCACAACTCTTGACATCTGGAAAGTAATGCACAGTGAACATATGTAGAGAGGATTATGAAGGTCCCATTTCGGGAAGAGTGGCCTGC